ATACATTAATAAAATGATGCATTGTAACATTTCCAAAATGTATCTTTTATGCTTTTATCAAGGTCACACCAATTTAATATAAAGTTCAATCAAAATTGGCGCGGTAATATTCAACCAATGAGGTTCCAATTAGGGCCTATTGTGATCTAAGCAGCTGAGCAGAGGAGGAATGTGCAACAATGGCGTTGAGGCAGCACAGCTGAGTGCTCATCATCTTCTCACACACATCCTGCATGACTGTGAGCACAATGCCCGCTTTATTTCTCCCCAGCACAGGCCGCTTACCACGTGAAGTGAAAGGTAGTGAAAAACAGACCAATGCATTTTCACCCAGGCCCCTGTAGAAACCAAGCCTCCCGCATCCCATCGCTCTTTTCTATCTCCCTGAAGGCTTGGACAGAATAATAAAACGCACAATTGATCTGATGCAAGGTCTGAATGAACCTCACAATTGCGACGTGTCTTTAAACATGTCACAAATGCAATCAGAAAACTGCATTAAAAAGAGAGTTAAACACTAATTTATCATCGTTTATAAAGTGAATTTGTTAATGTAAGCAATAATTATTAAGATTTACATAAAGACATTAAAACATTTATGTCCTTAATGTAATCTGATCATAAAGCTTTTAGTTGTAAAAATATCTATAAGAGTAGATCTTATTGCATTTCAGGCACAAAGGGCTTGGGTTGTATTTGTTGTGCCATCTTGCCTTTTTTTCCTCCCTTTTACACAATGCTTGGGCGTTTTTTTCCCCCCAGCTGGAAACCGACGCTTTGAAATCAGCGTCAATAATACTATGAGGGATGCGCGCCCCCGCTACTGTACAGCGACCTGTTGCGCACCGGGCGCGCTCCCACATCATAACAAGTTATGATTCATAAAAATGTTATCACTCCTCCAAAAAAAAAAAAAAAAACTGTCCCGGATGTGCATTTCCACCACTAACCGCGCGTCGAGACGAAATTCTTTTAAAATATGACGGGAATATCACTTACCATGTTGGAAACGTTGATGTATTTTTTTCAAATCTCTCTCTTTTGGCATCGATGTTGTGGAATGACCGTAGTGCTGAAGGGAGGGAGGAAGGGAGGAAGGACAGCTCCGGAGCTCAGCTTGGATCAGCCGGGACACTGGCGCACTATTTCCCTGTTCAGTCTCGGGGATGCGCAGTCGGAGAGCTGCATTTTTTTTCTCAATTATTTATGCCCGTCGCAAATTGCGTTTAACTCGCATAACAAAAGGTTATTCTACCAGGATGTGTTTGCAGGATGAGGAATAGGGGCGTTGCGGATAGAAAGAGAGTAAACCGGGGGCAGGATTGATTTTGTGGGCCCTGTAGGCGCTTCTCTTCCTCTTCTCTTTGTATTTGTCCGGGGTGGGGGGGGCGCTGTTTTTGTGGCCTGACTGTCTGCGGTCCCCTATCTGTCCCTCTGTCTGCTCGGTAATCTGGCAAGCTGTTTGGTATAATTTATGACCCTCTCTTCAACACAAAGAGAGACTAACCATGGGAACCATCCAATGGATACCCAGTAAAAAAATAAAAAAATCTGATTAAAGATTTAATCAAATCTACTTTATATATCTCCATGACTTAAATTAACTAATTAAAAGCCCCAAATAGGTTAAAATAAAAAGTATTTTGTTGCAGTCTGAAGTTACTGAGTTGATGTTATGGACCAACACAAAGAAGTGAATCATTGTGAAGTGGAAGGATAAACGAGTTATATGTTTTATTAATAATTGTGGCCTACATTTGCATCCGGTCACCTTTACTTTGATATCCATAAATAAAATTGAGTGCAGCTTCACAGAAATATTTCACCCATAGAATTATGTAATTTTATTGCATTCCAAATTCCCTTTAACTTTTTTAGAAAAGTGTAACACAAACCTATTAAATACACCTTTTGTAGATCTTTACCATTAGGAAGTCAGGAAGTCCGTAAACTGTAGTTAAAAGCCTTC